TTATATGAGAGCTCAGTTTTCTTATGTGTATCAGTCATACAGTTTCCGTAGGGGTTCCTATCCATCAACAATCTTTTCCTTGTCGTTTGGGCCATCAGATAATCTTCCAGATATTCTTCTTGCTGCTAGCTCTTCAGGTTCTGTCCATATTTTCTCCCTGAGATTTGATCTGAATGAGAGGTAACAACCTATATATTTTTATTCCTGTTTGATTGTCCAACGGTTGTCACCCTTTTGATATGCCCGTTATTTGGCTTCAATATTATTGCTGAAATGTGTAAATGTTTTCTTTCATTATATTGAAGTCAGCTCAGGTGGCATCAAACACATGTTAACTGTCTCTTGGGACCAAATGTTCCCTGTTATGTCTTTGCTAACTGCAGATAATTTTTTCCCTGCTTGGACCATTTACTTCATTTCCGCTATGCTTCGCATGCTTAAAAAAATCTGTCAGATATGTTTACATGTCCTTACTCTGGTCGATTTTCTTAATGTTTAGGGGCAGAAAATCAAATAGTTTCCTTGGGTCAATAATGCCTGGTTCTGTAAGTGATGTGTTGGATCCAGCTCATCATCTTGTATTTCATCATGCGTCTGCAGTCGGCATTCGAAGGTTATTGATTTTACGACACATGCATGAATTATCCAATTGCATGTTCGTTACGAATTAGACTGGAAAGAAACATTTTCAGAATAAAGTGCACTACATTTGCTCGGGATAATTTGAGATTAGTTTCACAATAACTCAGAACAATTGAAGTAAAAACTCTTTGAACAAAATCCTTGCTGCTTTTCAATGTTGTAAGTGAAAAGTCTTTGCTTCTATATTTTCTTATTGGTTTGAGCTGTTTGGAAAGGGCGAACTTTACCACAGGGCTTGAATTTTAGTGAAAAAGTTCTCATTTACGGGCTTAGTTTTCTATTTTTTTATTTTTATTTTTATTTTTTTTAGTTTAAGGCTTGAATATCACAATTCTCTCCAACTTAAGATCCAAATGAATTAGAAAATACGATTTGAATATTTCTTTCTATTGCACGTAGGCAATCTTTTTAGTTTTTTTTTTCTTTTTCAATGTCTCATAAATAAAATTGGGGATGAAGATCTTCTTCTTTAAATTAAATCTAATTTAATTGTGAGCAAAAAGCTTCACCCGACCAGTATATCTAGTTTTATTTTAGCTTTACTCTAATTTTGATAGAGATTAAACGCATTTGGATTAACTTATGTTTATAAATAATTAAAAGTTCTAAAGTTTTTTCTTAGTATTTTGTGTTGGATCATTGTTTAAAAATAAAGTTATTTTTACTATGCAGCAACTATTTTCAAGTTAACTTTTGAGCCTCTTTTTTATTTTCTTTCTTTNAAAAAAAAACAAAAAAAAGAATGAAATGAAGATAATGAGAGTTAGCATAGTTATTCCTTTTTCCATCCCTTAAGAACTTAGTTTGAGAAGTATTTTTAAACTTCAAGCCTTGAATTGAGAAAATGAAAAAAATGAAGCCATTCAGTGAGAACTTACAAAATTTGGGTCTTAATCTAACACAGTTAGTAAAATCTAGGTCATAAGATTAATTTTTCGCGTCTGGAAATGAACTCACTTAGAAAACATCAGTAGCATTTACTTTGTCAACACATTAGCAGAGTGGGACTATTTAGTCCTCTCATTTTGTTTTCATAATTATAAGATCTAAACTTGTTCAAGTTCGCCCACAACAGATGTTACTGGGAAACTTGTAAAATTGCAGAATCAATGTGAGAATTAATACTGGCCCGAAAACAAAGAAATTAGCCTTTTAATTCTAGAACTTGTAAGGATGAAAAGAGATTTCAAATACAAGTATATAATATATTTTCCTCAAAAGAAGGAATTTGTTATACCTTTCCAGTGATGCTGTCATTCGGAAGATAGAGAAAGCAAGTGGTACTTCAATGTCCGAACCTGTCGCATTGAGGTGAGTTCCAAGTCATTTTTGATTGCCGATGAATTTAAAACGTGGACATGATTTTATGTTACTTCCATTGCTTGTGTATTTGGTGGTCAAGATATATGTAATGTCTGAATTTAGATGGAGAAACTCAACATGTATGTATACCTGTATGCTATTAGTATATATTTCACATTGTGGAATTTATCTGTCTGAATCTATTGCAGAGCCACTGTATCAGTGATAACATTTATGGGGTACTTCCAAGAATATTGTTTGAGAATAAACTACAAAAACGAAGCTACTTGGACATTGGAGCACGAGTTTAATCTTCTTACGGCTGTTGCAAAACATACTGCAAGTTAGATAATGTTGCATTGCATATGACGTTCACGGTTGATCTCAAACTAGGTTCGTTAACTCAGATGTGTGTGCGTCTGTGTACATATCATTTACTGTAATGATGAATGCTTGACCCACCACTTTGGGGCTTGTGATTTCTGGTTATGGAATAATAGGGCAGTCCATTGCTTGATTATATTTGACATGTGCTGACAACTGCTCTCAATTTCTATCCAGTTCCTGCTTCTGCTTCTATCGGGCATATGAAATAATTATCATATTTGTTTTTTTCGAAACGACAATAAATAATCTCATAGATAGATAGACAAAACAAACACGGGTTCCCGAGAGACACAGAATCCAAACAAACTGGATCAGAGGACTGCGAATCTGCGACAAGCAGCCTAAAAACGAAACTAACTAACAAACTAAGAAGCTCCCAATAGGAGAAACTAAAACTCCCACAAGTAGAAAATACAAAAAACACACTCCCCAGAGCAAGAGAAAAGAAAACATACAAGACACACAACTAAAAGGAATCTGATAGATAAACTAATACTCTCTCCTCCAGAAGTCGACCCACTCGGAATCCTCAAGCAAGCCGTCAACAAAAGCAATCTCCCAAATGGGATCGAATCCCGACCCAACACAAGGTTCTAAAAACTCCACAATGGCTATCTAGAACTGTATCAAAGACGCAACCCAATCTAGGAAATCACCACCGGATCAGAACCAGAAAGACCGCATCCTACCTACCCCCAGTCGACTAGCGATTGCTGCCCACAGAGATGCCGCCATCGTCGGCCGCCCCCAAGCACCCAAAACCAGAGTCGAAAGGGGTCGGAGAGGTAGAAATTGGACCTCGAGAACATCGACCACCACCAGGTGGCCACCGCTCCCGCCGCCACAAACCACCCTCCAGTCGTCGCCTTCCTTTCCACCATGGAAACCCCAGAGCTGAGGGAGAGATCCACGTAGGGAGAGGAAAAACGGCAACTCGCCAGGCTGCGAATAGCTGGTATCGGACGACCCATGCTGCGGCCCTCGCCGGAGGGAGGAAGCCCGCCGCTAGAGGAGAGTCCTGCTGGCAAATTAGGGTTTCTGTTTTTCTGTGAAAGGGGGAAAAGGGGGAAAATGGAGGATTATGTATGAAATAATTATCATTAAATAGCAAATTTATGCAGGAATTTTGGACAACGTATTGACTGTGAGGTGTTAAATTTTTTACCGCGCGAGGCAAATTTAAACTTATAAAGTTTTTTCGACTAACATCTACTAACTAGTAGTAACTACAACAAGTAATAATCATTATGAATATGAATTATATTGTGTGACAATTTTGTATAAACTGAATAGAATTAAGAAAGTACATAAAATATAGGGGGTTTTGATTTTATAAATTCCTAAACTAATTAAGAAAACTACTAAAAATAAAAATAATAAAATAACAAATGGAAATAAAATCAAATAAATTGAGAAAAATTCGGACAAGTTATCACTCAATTTGACTCTACAATTAAATAAGTCCAGTACCTTCTTTAAATTACTAACAAATGATTAACCATAGTTAACAACTTTTAAATAGACTTTCTCCTTACTGATTACTCAATCGAAATAAGTTGTTCATCTAAATCTAACTAGTTGACAACCTAGAATAAACTTTCTAAATTTATTGCACTAGCACCATTAATTCCTAAGAAAGTAGATTGGTCTAAGCATTGGACACATAAGCGCGGAGAAGTTCAAGTAATAATCGAAGACTCCCTGAAGAGGGAAATTCATTGCAATTGGTGGTGGGAGTTGCAGGAGTCAAAAGGAACATCCTGAAGCTACCTTAAGTTTCGGGCCAGAAGATGTCACAGGTGTTTCATCCCGCACAATGATGCTCTGGTCATAACCGCAAAAATTGAGAGCTATGTGGTACGAAGATTCGTGGTGGACACATGCAGTTCGATGGATATTATTTTTCTCCATTGTTTGGACCAGTTGGCGAGGCATGCATAACAGTAGTGCTTGGGCAGTTGCCTTTGATTACAGGAAGATAGATCAGGTTTCTTGTGTAGACGCAACCTCAGCTTACAATGTCATTTTAGGGCGACCTAGTCTGAATGCCTTTCAAGCACCAGTTTCAACCTACTGCATGAGGAATCAACAACACGCCAAAAAGTGCTACCAAGTTACACTGAAGAGCTCATGAGTCCAAGGAGCAAGAAACAACCCGAAGGCAGATTACCCGGAGAGTTCGAGCTAAAGCAGTAAGCAGAAGAAGCTTGAGATCTCACCGCAGGACGAGCTCAGGGAGGTTGAGCTCGTAGAAGGGGAGGTCGAAAAGGTCACCAAAGTAGGTCGCCACCTCCCCGAGGATGTTCAGATGCCCTTAATGACTCAGCGACCCATTTTCCAATTTCATCCTTTCGAGCCTAATATAAATTTTTAATCGAGCCTCGAATTAAATTATAAGCCGAGCCTTGATTAAATTTTATCACGAGCCATTAAAGAATTTCCTCGTGAACCTTAGCCGAGCATCGAGCTGAATCTACTTAAATTAAATTTTAGAAAATATTAATTATGTATTATATTTATGTTTGATAATTTTTATCATGTAGATTTCGAGAAGTCGAGTCCTTGGGGCATTCATTTGAATGTTCTTTTATTTCGAGTATATTATATCGAAGTGGGGACATTTTAATACGTTGTTATTCTTTTTAATTGCAAGGTATGGTTTTTACAAATATGCTATTATATGGCCTTCGAGGAAATGAAGTAACAGGCCCTCAGGCAAATGTGGTAACGTGCCTTTGGGCATGTGAGTTATGATGTTTAGCCGAGGGGCTATTACATCAGAGTTATGTTGTGTGTCCTTCGGCCTACTGCATCCGAGTTTCGTACGAGTATATGATAATTGTTATATATGTTTATTAGATTGAATAACTGCGTAGTTCTATATTCCCACACTGAGCTGTTGATGCTCACCCCTCATTTAACAATTTTAGGTCGATGAGCTAGCGTGGGACTCGGGGACGGCGTGGTAGTCGCTTTCAAAATAAACTCGTGTTTTATATTTAAATGGTTGTATGCTCATTTGGATTAGGACTTGGAATTATTTAGAACTCATCATTTACTATCATTCGTACTTTTAGGACTTTGGAGTTTTGGTTTGAAAGTGTTCTACTTCCTTTCGATTGTGATTGTGCTATGGTGCTATGGGTATGATTTGAGTTTTGAGGATATAATGAAGTTGCCGAGTTTAGTTCATGAAGTTTAAGTTGTTAAGTTGTTTATGAGTTATATTATCAGTGTGCGCAGCGTTAATTATTGAAAACCCTTTTTGTTCGAAATCCATTAACGCCTCTTTAAAAATGTCATGTTTACCCTTTGAAAATTTGGGCGTTACCCAAGATTTGGTCAAAGTCAGTACCTAAATAGTGTGGTTCAGAACAAAACTAGCCCGCGAAGCTCACACACCACACAGGAGTGCCAACGGGGCGTTGCGCGCTTGCTAGGCGACGCTCACAAGCGCGTGGGCACAGGTGTTGTGGCGCACATCTATTGTACACGGGCGAGCTGCGGGCTAGTGCTAAGCGACGGGTGAGGCGTATGAGCCGCAGGTTGGCACGATAGGGTCCCACTGGTGTTGAGCTCACTAGGGACGGGTTCACTAAGCGCTGACGGAGTCAATCGGAGTAAACTTTTTGGCAAGATTTCCGACAAGTTTTGGGTGAGTTTTAGGTGATTTTTCGGCAATTTTCAACAACCCCTTCCCTTTCGGTTGATGCACATTTGAGGAGGCCGATCACGAATGCTACAGGTGTGGGAGCGATCCTGATCAGGGAAGGCTAAGATAGCATATACGATCACCAGGAATATCAATGAACCCAATTATTGCAATTGCGGATAATGCTGTGTATAGAGATATGAGAGTCTAAATTCAAGAAAGAGCGTCTGCATAAGAAAATTCTAGTCAGCAATGTCAAGCATATTTTTGGAACGTATTTTTTCTACAAAATAGAACATAAAAAGAGAGAAAATACACAAAATATAAAAACAATACAAAATATGTAAACGAGCAAAATCAACTAAATGGATCGTAAAAACCTAAAATAAAGTAAAACAAGCACAAATAAACAACGCAAAAACACATAAAATAATGACATAAATACACTAAACACACTAGCATACTCTTGGGATGATTGTTGAACTCTACGGTCACAGCCTATATCACGGGGTGCGTGTGTGAATGCCTTGGCCGTTAGCAAAAACAACAAGTTAAGGTGTGCACACGAGTCAACAAGGTGTCCTGGCATGTGCTCGAGCTGAAGACCAACTCCAATGATGCGGGTTGAGTCCGCATGTGGTGGGCAGCCAAGGCTTGTTGGGAGGAGCAGGCTCTCCTTGGCTATGGGTGAACTCAGCGCAGCATGTTATTTATTATTTGCTACATGTTATTTATTTAGTGATATCTTTTACTATTTTTTCCTGTAGAAATGGAGGATCTAAATGGTGATGATGCTCATTCGAATCCTACGACTGAATCGACACATTTTGACAAGGGTGGACGTAAAAAGAAGGGCTATTTACATACTTACCTTAGTGTTTCATAAATATTTGTAAAAATACTAACTACAAAATTTATTTGCAAACATACTTACTTGACAATAAAAAATTATATTGATGCTAGATTGTGTAACAGAAGAGAAGAGAGAGAAAAGATTTTCCACAGAAGAGAGAAAAAAAGTTATATAGATGCTAGATTGTGTAACAGAGAAAATAATTTCTCCGCCATCTTTCCCTCTATCCTCGGTGGATTCGCGCGACGTCGGCCGCTCATCGACCGAACTCTCCCCATGGACGAGACCTTCACGACGAACCCATTTCAGCCCCCGTAACCCGATTCGGCCTCCGTAACCGAACATACACCCAACATATACAGAACATATACTGAAAAATAACACCAGATCCAAATGAACATGTACCGAACATATGTATACCGAACATATATAGAACATATACTGAAAAATAACTCCAATTTTCTGAGTTTATATATGTATACCGAACATATACCAAACATATACAGAACATATATTGAAAATAATTTCAGATCCAAGCGTTGAAATTAATCCACATTACTCAAGCCTCAAATTTCTTATCCATCTTCATCTGCGCGGAAAAATTCCCCAATTAATCCACATCACTCAAACCCTAATTGAACTCCCACATAAAAAAATCAAAATTAAACGATTCGCCGTTAGACAAGCAATCAATTCGAGGTCTCATCACTGCGAGATGTGCCCGCCGCCGGTGCAAGATCCACAAGCGATGGGAGTTCGAGGACTGGGCGCCCCGCAGAAAGCCAATGAAATTTTCCGCCTCGAGAACGAGTTTTCCCTGTAGACGTAGGACGCTGGAAGATGAAGAGCGGGTTTAGAGATTTGCAGAACGCGCAAAAAATTCCGGCGGAGGCGAGGACAAGCGGAGGGCGGCGAGTTCCTTGAGCTTCCGGTTGCAGGGGGAGAAAGATCTATGAAGAAGAAATAAGAAAAAAAGAGAGAGAGAGAGAGAGAGAAAAAAAAAGGAATGACATAGATCTGTAGGAAAAAGAAAAATATAGAAAGATGAAACGTTGATGTTGGCATTGATTTGTGTTGGGATGGATAAATACCGTATGTTTCCAATTAAAAATAATGTCTCGTAGATATACAATTAAAAGCATATTATATCGTGCCCTAGGTAAATCTCTCTAAAAAGAAAGGGCGCAAAGCAACACAGAAGGAATTTATCCTTAAAGCGGGGGTTAAAAAGATTTAAATATCCTTTGATTGTCATTTGAAGCCAAATGGACCGACCACAGAGATCTGCGACGGCTTTACTAGTTATGTCGGCATGTTAGCTTAGACCAAAGTTAGCATCTTAGCAAATAATTGGGAAAAAGATGTGCCATAGAAGATTAAAGATCAAATTTGGGAAACTCTATTGGTATGCAATTTATATTATTATGATCATACATATTTTTTTTTCCATATAAACTCATGTATTTTTCCTATCAATATATTATATAAAATTATTAATCATGTGTTTGTAGGAGACATTTGAGATGCCCAATGATAAAAAATTGAAAGAAAAATGGCTTAGATATGCTGAGGGACGTTGGAGGGTTTTCAAGACCAACCTCAATCGGTACATTTTCAGAGAACTACAAGGTGGACTCCCGTTGAGGACTCCCATATGTTGAGAACTACGTGTTTCTTGATGAAGATACTTGGGAGGCTTATGCCACATCACGTCAAACTCCTAAATTTTTGGTGAGTTAATTTCTTTATTATTGCATTAGTGTGGTCGGTTAAAAAAAATGATTTTTTTTTTTTGACACATTTACATGATGCATTATTAACGACTACATAAAATAAATATTATCAAAACTTTATATGTATATTATATACCATTTATTGTATTTATACATATATATGTGCAGGCGAAGGGAAAAAAAGAGTAAAAGAAACACAATCCTTGAATAAGTAGTGTCCTCATAATTTATCTTGGGCCGGTTATGATGGTTTGGAAAAAAAAAAATTATGGATAAGAAATACAGACCAGGAGAAAGGACAGACCCCCCGTCTAGTCGAATAAGTAAAAGCGATTTTCCTGTGAGGTTAGATGGAAGTTATGTCTCAAAGGTGGCTAAAACTATTGGTGACAAGATTATAAATAACTAGAGATACAAACTTCATTATATGTTTTTCTATAATAGATTTAAATATTATTTCTTGTGTTCATTGTAGGATTCTTTGGAAGAACAATCCTCCCAGGGAAATTTCAAACCTAGTGGTAGAAATGATATTCTTGCGGTGGCAATAGGAAAGCCGGAGCATCCTGGCCGTGTGAGGGGAGTCGGGCAGGGGATAGGTATTAAGGCCTATTTTTGGACGATCAAACGTCCTGGTACAAGTGTAGAAATGATTTCACAGGAGGAGTTAGAGGTACTCATAACTCAAGTAAAAGAGGAAAGCGAATGTGAAGACGAGGTGATGGTTGGTACTCTGACGGACACTGCACCTGCTCTCCAATAGTGCCGAGCACAAAAAGAAGTTGCGTTCCAACTTTGAATGTGCAAAGAAATGACGTGAAATATGAGTTGTATGTGGAGGACCCCAAAGTCGATTAGTGACATATGGTCGCCTCCACAACTTGGGGCCAACCATGCACCATCGAGAGATGAATGATGCTGAAGTAAGGTTTGTGAGGTCACGCATAATAGTTGGAGATGCTCGTGTTCCATACCCGACAGATGAGGTCGGTTTTGTGATAGATGCTCCAAATCAATTCATTGGTTGGACTAGAAAACTAGTGGTGCAAGATATAAAGGTAAATAAAATTCTTATAGATATATTTCCTAAAAATGTTAGATGCATTTAATATAGATGTTGTGGTGTTATGGTTTAATTTTATAGAAGATGTCAGCGAGAAAAACAAATGGATCTGAAACTCAAGATTGATGTGATAAGAACTATGTGTAATGCGACACTTGACATTACAGAACCAGTTTAAGGAGTTGTTAACATATAGCTCCCAACAATATATGAACTGGTTTTGTAATGTCAAGTGTCGCATTCCACATAGCTCTTATCACATCAATCTTGGGTTTCAGATTCATTTGATTTTCTCGACTGACTTCCTATATAAAATTAAACCATAACACCACAACAACATTTATATTAAATGCATATATAAGAACATTTTTACAATATATTTATAAGAATTTTATTTACCTTTATAACTTGCACCACTAACTTTCTAGGCCAAACAATGAATTGATTTGGAACATCTCTCACAAAACCTACCTCATCTGTCGAGTATGGAACACGAGCATCTCCAAATATAATGCGTGACACCACAAACCTTACTTCAGCATCATTCATCTCTCGATGGTGTATGGTTGACCCCAAGTTGTGAAGGCGACCATACACCACTAATTGCCTTTGGAGATCCTCCACATACAACTCATATTACACGACATCTCTTTGCACATTCAAAGCTAGAGGGTAACTTCCTTTTGTGCTCGACACTATTGGAGAGTCAGGTGCAGTGTCCGTTTGAGAACCAACCATCATCCTCATCACCTCCGCTTTCACCTACTCTTTATGATAACCTCTAACTCCTCCTATGAAATCATTCCTACATTTGTACAAGGACGATTTGATCATCCAAATGGCCTTAATACCTATGCCCTGTCCAACTCCCCTCACATAGTCAGGATGCTCTGGCTTTCCTATTGCCACCGCAAGAATATCATTTCGACGACTAGGTTTGAAATTTACCGGGAGGATTGTTCATCCAAAGAATCCTACAATGAACACAAGAAATAATATTTAAATCTATTATAGAAAATCATAAAAAATATAATGAAGCTTGTATCTCTAGTTACTTAGAATCTTGTCACCAATAATTTTAGCCTCCTTTGAGACATAACTTCCATCTAACCTCACAGGTGCCCTTTCCCATTTCTCATGGAAGAGAGGATGGAGATGGGAGGAAAGGATAATGGAGGGATCTAATGAGGCCTCTTTACTGGCCTTGTATTTCTCATCCATAATTTTTTTTTTTTCAAACCATCATAACTGACTCGAGATAAATTATGAGGACACTTATTCATGGATTGTGTTTCTTTTGCTTTTTTTTCTCTTCGCCTGCAGATATATATAATGGTATATAATATACATATAAAAGTTCTGATAATATTTATTTTATGTAGTCGTTAATAATACATCATGTAAATGTGTCAAAAAATAAGTCATTTTTTTAACCGACCACACTAATGCAATAATAAAGAAATTAACTCACCAAAAATTCGGGAGTTTGACGTGATGCGACATAAGCCTCCCAAGTATCTTCATTAAAGAAACACGTAGTCCTCAACATATGGGAGCTCACCCTGTAGTTCTCCAATGTACCGATTGAGGTTGGTCTTGAAAACTCTCTAACGTCCCCGAGCATATCTAAACCATTTTTCTTTCAGTTTTTTTATCATTGGGCATCTCAAATGTCTCCTACAAACACATGATTAATAATTTCATATAATATATTGATAGAAAAAATACATGAGTTTATATGGAATAAAAATATGTACAATCATATCATAATATTTATAAATAGCATACCAATAGAGTTTCACAAATTTGATCTTTAATCTTTTGTGGCACATCTTTTTCCCAATTATTTGCTAAGATGCTAACTTTGGTCCGAGCTAAAACGCCGACATAACTAGTAAAGCCATCGCAGATCTCTTTGGTTGGTTCATTTGGCTTCAAATGACAATCAAAGGATATGTTAATCTTTTTATCCCCGCTTTAAGGATAAATTTCTTCACGCGTGTTGCTTTGGGCCCCTCTTTTTACGAACACCCTTGTTGAAATGTGTCGACTCAGTCATAGGATTCGAATGAGCATCATCACCATTTAGATCCTCCATTTCTACACGAAAAAAAGTAAAAGATATCACTAAATAAATAACATGTAGCATAAATCATTTTACGATAAATAAAGTTGTATATCATTTTATTTGCATGCCGTGTCACTAAACAAGTAGGCTGGTTGTTTTTGTGTTCAGAGAGAGTATTTTCAATTTTACTAATGAAAAAAAAAAAAGAAAAAAAGAAAAATTTTCAAAGAATCTTGTTTTCCTTCTGAAGATCGATTTGCTAGGGTTACTAACATACTTTTGTAAAGCTAGAAAGACCATATTCACATACAAGGTCGATCAATGCAGACTATTCGTGAGATATGGTCGAATTACAAAATATTATGATTATCTTTTGAAATTAATACTTTCCCTTAGGTGAAGTGGTCTTGTGGAAAGATGATAATCTTAAGGAAATGTGGTCAATACCAAAGGCAATATTATAATCAGGTTATTTATCCATCCTTACAGAAAGAGATAGATAGATGGATACCTGCATTGATAGGACTCCATCGCTGAAATCTGAAAGGAGACGGGATATTGAGCACTGAATTAGTTGCCCCGCTGTTATGCCTGAAAAGTGGGACATACGCCCTCTGCAAAAGATTTTCAGCAAGTGCACATGGCTGTAGCTCACAATCGAGTCCTGGCTCAAGATTTGACCATTCAGATAGATTAACGGCGACTTTTGCGAGCGCAGTACATTCATCCCATTTCGGGCTACCTATATAAGCTTAACAGAAACCCCAGGCTTTTTCCCTTTTTCATTTAAGCTTTTTCCCTCAGTAGGAGAGTTTCCATCTTTTAGCCGGACGGATGAACATTGTGAGCACGAGTTCTGCTCTCTGTAACCAGTATGTAAACATGGGTGTTCGATTTCAGTTTTTCCAGTCAATAAATCTGCATTATTGATGTGAGGAAGATTTTCAAGGTGTGCCACAGATTTATCAAATGCATCATTAAGTCCATATCCAGATAAAGAATAAGCACTCAGTTGAGTTGATTGTTTACAGATCCAATGCTAAGCTTTAAGCTGCTTTCCTCATGGCTACTAAGATTATTTTCAAAAGTGGCGTGCAACGATGAGCCACACAAGTCAAGTGCACCATGATAATTCAGAGAAATCCATCCGTAATAAGCGTCTTCCATGCCCGTGACAGTTTTACCCACTCCCTTTTGCACATAAAATGGGAAGTCTTTAAAATCGACCATGCATTATCAAGAAGCAAATTGGAGTCTGCAGGCGGTAGCTTGCATACTCGAGCTGTAGCATATAGAAAGAGAGAGGCTGACTTATGCGACTTTTTCGGTATTTGCTTCTCGGCCCATTTAATGTGGGGCTTAATTACTTTTCTCATACCATTTTCTGGATGATGAAAATCTCAAATTAGCCTTCTTAGGGCTAGAATAGGTAAAATTATGGTGAGAACCAGGAATAGGAGGCAAACCAGATGGTTTATACAAATCTGAAGCCTTTGGGTACGACAAACGCAATGCTGTAGATGAAAAAAAACTTTGATAATTTACTGAACACCATGTTATCGAGTATCAGAAGTTTGCAATATAAAATAATCTTTCATTTCAGACGCCACTGGCCCATTTATCAAAAGTCATGACCTGTGTGAGTTCTACAGTCCTTACAAGCAAGATCAACTGGAATGAATAATATGAAACCTGCAGATAACAGGAAGAAACAAAAGCACGGTATTGTTGGAAGAATAACATAAAACGGCAAATATCGCTAAGATACACACTATATTATCAACAATGATTGAAATGAGATAATTTGTGCACAAAGGAATTATATAATCCCCACAAGTACAGAAAACGTAATTTGAAGTTTCAACCATTATTGAAAATGTTACTATGTTACAAGGAGAACAATATACAACAGCACCTGATGTCAGAACAAAGATATATACTATAAATCATTCAGATGTTAGAACTCAATACATAGTCTATTTTTAACTAGATAACATTTTGGAACAAAATTTCCAACCCTTTTCTGAAATTTTCGCAATAACTCTAGGATCGAAATTACACAAAATTCTACACAAAACTCAAAAGACTCCATCAATATCACGCTAAGAAAATCAACTGTAACCCAATATTGATTAACACGTCATACACAACCAAGATCGTGAATAAAAACCATAGATCTTGAATGCCACACACAGGAGAGCAAGTATAACATAAATTACATCAAATATGAACATAAATATCAGAGAACTAACCATCAGATCATTACGAAGTTAAATTTCGAAACACAGTCCAGAAAATGCCTTTTTGCGGGCCTTATGTGGCAGATCCAATATCCAAAATGGTGCTCTTACTTTCAATTGAAACAAACAATTTGTAACCCACCTGCATCTGCGTGTTCAAACCAGACCGTCACACACACTCTCTCTCTCTCTTTAAGTAAGTTTGTTAAATGTTTATCTTTTTGTTTGGTACACGTTATATGTATTTATACAATATTTAAATTTTTATAAAGATATTGGATGTGTTACATTTTAAATTTCGACTATATGCAAATATATAATGTAAATATAAATTATTTAACTTACGTATGAATCTTTATATTGATGCCATAAATTTTAATGGATAATATAATGTGTAATTTAGAGGGACCATATATTTACTTAGTTAGAAAAGTATTATAATTATTTTTATTATTATTATTATTATTATAGCAATTGTTTATGTGATTTTAAGGTGTTTAAAAATGACACTCATGCCAATTAACTAATATTAGATAATAATCGCTCAAAAAGACAAAAAATATTTTATTTTAGGAAAAGTATTTTAAATAAAAAATCTCAAGTCTTAGTAGCTCCGCTAAATGGTGATTCAGAATGAGTGAAACCACTGCACCCCGAAATAGAACTATCACCACTATTACTTACAATGGGAGTATCACTGCAGATTTGAGACTGAAGAAATGCACGCCGTGGTGGCAAAATATGGGTCTATATGCACTAGAAAATGATACAAGTTCTAAGAAGAAGAAAGATACCCCATTTGGTCTGGGACGCTTTAACATTTTTTCAATGCTTTAATTCTATCCTAGTTAATCCTGATTCGACATTAGAAGTACATAGTTCCACATACTATTTAATGTAAAATTATAATCAATTAGTATTAGTAGTAATCTGGCAAAGGTTGCGTAGCAGAGATATTAATCACATTCCTGGTCACCGTAAATTTTATTTCGTCCGACCTCCTCCTAATACCTTTGAATTCTCAACGGAGTGGCTACACGAGCTACCCAGCCAACGTAAAAACCCCGGATCAAACGTCAAGTATGATGCACTTCTCTAGGAATGGAATAAACACCCACTTCATATGGTGAAGCTGACTTCCTATTCACAGCTCCTCGGACATTTCAAGTTGTCCAGCTGCTCAGCCCCACCGGTGGCTGACATAGGTAGGCATCACGTATCGCGAATGGCCACCTTGCTACGCTACATTTATTACCTTTTCCCACGCTCATTTCTCATCTCGTCATTTATTAATATGTAGAAGCTTTGTTCAGTACCATCGCTACCGACCCCAACGCCAAACCCAAAAAAACTCAGTATGTCGTCCCTTAACCTCATCAGGTCGTCGACCTAGAAACTCCAGGCGTGACCAAACACCCACTCTACTGCAAGTCGCCGCAGAAGTCCTCCGCGTCCAAGCGTCAAAAGACCAACGCTAAGGGGAAGGAAATGTCCCAGACAAAGGGAGACAAGGATGACGAACAAAAGGCCTGCTCGACTGCCACTCTGGAACAACCGAAGTCTTTTGCTGGCAATCGCGATGTGACAGTTATGAGCTGCTATCTCTCTTCCATCTTTCCTGAGGGCGAGACTGTTTGGTGGACGACCAAGGAGAAACGAGCTGGAGCCACCATTTTTCACCTTGTCCAAGTATCATGTGTACACAACCTAAGCAATAGATAGCGCAAACTTCCTACAGGGTTATTTTCTTCAACAGACATTGGCTGACTTGGCTCCGATCCTTCATGAGCCCTTTTGAAGGAGATTTGGCCGAGATGGAGGAATTTAAGGATGAGGTAGCCGAGGAAAAAGCCCAGCTCGTCTGCCTATTGGAGGCCTTTGAACTTCAAAAGGGGGAGATGGAGAAGCTGAAGGCTCAACTTACCAACCGGGATGCCGAGCTGAAGGCCAAAACAACCGAGCTAGAGGAATTCTGTCTCTCCACGAATCCACGCATTGATAGCCCGCGAAGAAGGCCAAGTCTTCTTTCTCTCCTCTATCTCTGGCGCGAGCTTCATTGACCATTACCGGACTGAACTGCTGGCGTACTTCAAACAATCTACTCAATCCCTTGGTTGGATCTTCCCCGCATGCAACCAGTATTTCAAAGAGGGAGTCATGCGCACTCGCGCCCAAGCCGTGGTCCAGGGCTTCACTGGCACATAGAATGAGGCCGAGCTAATCAATGGTCTCCTAGAGCCTGAGGGATGGAAGAGACAAGTCACTCCTACTACACACCCTTGGTGGGAGCCAGTCTTGGAGATTGCTATGGGTCGTGCCAAGCTAGCGGCTGAAGGTATGGGCGAAGAGGAACAAGGCACGGGCGAGGAGCAAGAGAAAATGTCTTCCCTTAGAAATTGTTTGTTTTTTGTTGGTATTCTATATGTCAGTCCTTTGTTTTGGTGGGCATGTAACTTGGACATTTATTGAATGCTTTATCTTATTTTGCTTTTATCTATTTTGTAAGCCATTTTGCTTACCATTCGCTCTTGCGTGGTGTTGTCGGTTATATATTTTTATGCACGCATACATTTTGTTTCAAGCTCTATGAGTTTAAGTGGCATCGTCAGACGGGCTGCCGAGCTCATCAGACATCAAAAAAAGGTTGGTGCCGAGTTTTGTTTTTTCCTCTTGTGTAGACTACTGTTGTAATTCATTTTTATGCGCCTTGGCTTTATGCCGAGCATGCTCCTTTCTAAAATTGTAGTAATCCTGATCTCCTCTCTCTTTTGCTTTGTTGACCGAGCGTGCTCCTTTCTCGCGTTGTTTGAGTCTCCATCCATTGGCCCACCAGAAATCATGTATATAGTCTCCTCATCGTCATCCTTGTCGCCTCCTTCTACAGAATCCTCCTTACACCTCCTTTTCTACTTCCCCTGCAATCTGTCTTGATAGACAAACTATTTAAGGTGCCTTACTCGAATAAGGCGCTCAATATCGTCCTTAAGGTGTCGATAGTCCTCCGTTGTGTGACCATAATCCTTATGAAATGGAAAATATCTCCTTGACTTTGGCTGACCTTGTCCATGTCACCTCTTTGTCATCTATCTTCTTCTCATTAGCAACCAACAACTCTCCGACCTTAGCGTATAATGGCTTAAAATTATGAAACCTCTTGCCTCCTGCAATAGGTCGATCTTTCCACTTGTCCTCACGACCTCGATCATTTCTATTACGCCCCTCCTCCCTTGGCGATCCCCTTCTTGATGAACCTTTCTTAGGCGAGTTCGTCTTCCCCTTGTTTGACTCTGGGCGAGTCATCTTTTCCAATTTAGTGAACTCCGCTTCCGTCTCCTCGAGGTTGATATACTTCTTACACCGCCTTAGTACTTCATCATATGTACGAGCGGGGGTTTTTACCAATGATGTTCGATAGGGCACAGCTTGCAAATTCTTATCAATCCACCTGCCTTGACCTCGTCCGAGGCCGACGGAATCTCCAACCACGTCTGATTGTATCAAGCAACATACTTTCACAACGACTCTTTCTCCCCATGCCTCATCGCCATCAGAGTCAAGTATGTCTTCTCCTGCGCCACCACACTTGAATACTGATTCGTCAGTTTCTCATCAAAATTCTTGAAATCTTTGATCGACCCTAGGGGGAGCTGGTGGAACCTGTCGAGCGTGTCTCCCCTCAAGGTCGAAAGAAACGCCCTGATCTGGTCAGAATACCCATGCATAACTGCCATGTTCTCGAACGTCCTCACGTGCCTTGATGGGTCGGATGACCCGTCAAATGCCAAACTCGTTTCCTTGAAATTCACCGGCAATGGTGCCGCCAATATCTCCCTCGAGAACAGGTGTCCCCGAGCACATCCCTCTGGTCGACCATCCACCTTGGCTTGTTGTTGACGCAGCTGCTCAGCGATCCTCTCCATCTCTCGATCTCGTGGAGCTCCTTCTCCTCCATAGCTTGACACGTCCTCCTACGTGTTATGTTGTTCTACCACCACCGTGGTCGGCACGGTCGCAGCATGAGAAGTGTTGTTCGTCACCTATTGCACCGCATGTGCCGCTGCATTAGCCATGACACGCTCCATCTCCTTCCTGGCCATCGTCACCACCTGTTGACCAGGGCGTTGCATCTTCTCTACTGGTGGCATCGCCACCGCTCCAACATGTTAGTCCTCCCGCCATCTCTAGTTGTGATGGTGCAAGCACCATCATCACCTGTGTCACCCGAGCCTGCTGCGTCTGGCTCGAGCCTACATTCGCCCCTGGAATCGCCGATGAACTCCCTAAACCTTGAGGAGCATGTATTGGGGTCACCAGGGTCTGAGAAGGTATGGAGAAACCCGGAAGAGGGCCTTCTCCGATTGGTCGTGCCGTCGTCCATGCCTCATCGAACAACGATTGTAAATTCATTCTTAGAATTTTGTTTGCCATAACCAAGCAGTTCGAAGAACCTCAGCACACAACCTTCCGAATGGAAGTTCCCACAGACGGCGCCAAATGGTAACGTCGAACACTCCGATCGGCTGGAAATCGACTTGCCTCTTTCATCCTCGTCGATAAAACGCCGAGTACTTGCAAAAGCTCTCACATTGGAGGGGTTTTTTAGTGAATAGCCTCAGATGTTTAAGTCAATATCACTTCAAAACTCTGGTCTCAAAGAGTATAATGGAAATCGTATGTAAAATCGTAAAACTCACCCTTATATATAGAGGTGGGTACCTGCTCTAGAAGCTGCCCGGATTAGCTGAGTTGGCTGCCCAAGAGCTGCACGGCCTGCCCGATAGTACAACACACACTGGAAGTGTGTCAGAGAAGGTTATTCAATATGGCCAATCAGACCGCGCCACGTGTCTTTCGCACTTGGGGGTTTGATTCCTCTAAGATCTCCTCGAAGGCTCTAGTGTTCGACCAAGTATAGGTCGGTCTGCTAATTGCTCCAAGTCTGTGAAGTGGTCGATCCTATGACCAATTGCGCGACAGGTTGATCTCCGACCAGCCTCTCCACGGGTTTGGGCTCGACCTGTTCTCCCAACACCTGTTCTCAAGTCAGAGGATCACTCATGTACTATTGCAACATGAAAGTTCTTATTCAATAGTTAAAAACTTCCATCTAAGAAGTCTCACCGGGCTATGTTCAGTGACCTTGTTCTCCAACAAGCACCTGCATATATGCATTTACATTCACACGCTAATGTTGATGTAATGCAACGTCCTCATCCAACGAGCATGCATCATATGCACAAGTCTTACCGGGTTATTCAATATCTTGTCTCAAAACACCCATTGACTTGGAACTTATTTAAGATCATAGCTTTAAAGACATGTTCCGTGATTATTATCAAATGCGCAACCATGCCTCATGGATGAAAACAATCTAAAGCCTTTATCATATGTGCAAATAAATAACAAATGCAAAGACATAAGATAAAGTGATGCCTCAAAATAATATAATTTCTATTAAATTGTCTTTACAAGTAGAAAAAGATCCAGTCATATTGGAACGCCGGATATTCTACTCTAACAATACATTCATAATATAATATAATTTTGAACATTATAAAACTTAAAAGAGAAAATTATGCCCTGCACTTAAGTTATCATTTTTATTTAAAGAATTATAGCCCATACGTATTTATTTTCAGATTTACTAAATTGATCAACTTTATATGCAAAGATACCTAAAGTCTGATTTTTAAATCAATATTATTTTGTAAATTATAAAAGCACAATTTTAGGGAACTCTATCAGTTACTAAAAACTCCTATTCCTATGTTTATGGTAATAACCTCAGTGATGAAATTGAAGATTTTTCTAGTGAGAAAGAAAAGGAGGTGCAAAAATTGAAGCATAAAAGCAAGAAAATGAAGTTTAAAGATGAAGAATTTCACATTCCTCAAAGAAGAGGACCAAATCTACTGTCGGTCGGAGCAAGCCCAACGAAGATTTACAAGGGCTGGCGGCTTGACGCGAGCGTCGTTGGTGAAGGTGATGTTAAAAGGGCCGACGGTCCCCAACTCCGACGCGCCAATGGATGTATCATCAGTGAAGGAGGTGCAAGGTCGGAGAAATTCGCAAGAACAGTAGGAGAAGTACACTAGCGAGCATATATCGGGATTTTCAAATGGGCAGTATATGTTGAGTATATAGAAAATATATTTTTAGTTTATAAACATTTTATATTTTGTATATTAGAAGATTTTGCGGAAACATTTGATTTTGATGTTCCATATAAATTTTTTTTTTTTCGGAATTCGTGTTTATAATAGGTCGTCATGTGTTTGATACAAATTTATAATTTGTATATGTTACAGTATTTGTTTGGTATATGCCACGGTAAATTAGTGTAGTTCCAAACTTGTTATGTAAGGTATATAACACGGTATACTAGTTGTACACTAAACCCAATCCTTAGTATATATGTATTATTTATAAAAATAATATATTGTAAAACATATATTGAATGACAATAAAAAAGATAGATAAACATATATTTTTGGCTTATAAGACATGGATATAAGCTTTCCCATCACATAATACCTTGAACACCTTATCCCTGAATTTCTTGGACCTGAACAAAAAAAAAATAAAAATCAATAGTATATAAAATGTTTATAAAATGTATATAGTACGTTTATATATCAAAGACTTTTTTACAGTAAATCTCGCGACAACTCTGGCATACATTGGAGGGCATGGGACAGAGTGACTCTCCCTAAACTCAAAGGTGGTCTGGGTTTCCTTGATATCAGACTGTTTAATGAAGCCTTAATCTGTAAACACCTTTGGAGGATTGCCACAAACACCAACCTCTTGGTCAGTCAAATTCTCAAGGACAGATACTTTTCTGATTGCTCCATTCTGAAGGCTGAGAGAACACAAAGAGTGTGTGAAAGTTGAAATCAGGGATGGCTCATCAACAAGAATTGAAGATTTGAATTGGGTGCCAGAGTTAAAAAAGCCACATCCTTGTCTGATAGACATTGCCAGGGGACATTTGATTTGGGTTAAGGACTTGATCTCTAATGATGGGAAGGAGTGGAACACTTGGCTGGTGGATCAGGTCTTTGATGCTGAAGACAGCTCTGCAATCCTCAACATTAAAACTTTGAATCCATCAAGACCTGATAGGTGGCTGTGGGGCATCTGCCCTAAGGGACAGTTTTCTGTTGCCATAACTTACAAGAACCTTGCAGCCCAGAAGATCATTCAGCTGGATATTCCTGAGTCAAGCTCAAGTACCATTAATAATAAGCTAATCTATAACAGATGCTGACAATTGAAGATCCAAGGAAAGCTTAAACATTTCCTCTGGAAATGCATCACTAACACTCTACCAGTTGCAGTAAACTTGAGGAAAAGAGGAGTGGACATTAACCCCATTTGCACAATCTGTGGAGACCTTCCAGAGACAGTAGAACACCTGCTGTTTTCATGTACAAGATCAGTTAGGATATGGGACAAAGCTCAGGTGCAATGGGATGGGCTACAAAATCTGACACATTCCTTTAAAGCTTGGTGGAACCAAATCAGTTCAATCAACTAGTTAGAGCTAGTGAAGGATAGAATCCAATTGTCCACCTACTTGCTGTGGTGGCTTTGGAAATCCAGGAATCATTGGGTGTTTAACAAATCTTTGATGCCGGACCACATAGTACTTGAAGCTGCACATAAAGATTGGATCGATTTCTCTTCAGCTGCAGGTGCTCCCTCAGGCTGTGTTGGATAGGTTTTGTGTGTCAGTTAGTTTCTGTTAGTTGTTTTCCTTTTCCTTTTCTGTTATTGGGATTATGTATTCTAGCTAGGCCTTATGGCAGTGGTGCGATACGTAGTTCTGATTTTTTCTTGGTTTTGATTTTGAGGTTCTAGGTACTTTCTATAGTACCTCTCAGTTTTATTTTTTTTCCAGTTGGTTGGGCTTTGCCCATTGTACTCGGACTTGGTCCGCTCCATTTTAGTAATACTACTCCTATCGTTCTGGCAANCCTTTTCATCGATATATTAGTTTTTTTTGTTTTGTTTTTAATTGATGCGAGTCCGTTACGCTATTTAAGGGGATAAGGCCATTATTATTTTTGGTAGGTGAAACTCATGGTTAATTGTAATCTCATAAGTTAAGCAAATTAAGGGGATATGGCCATTTTTTTTCATGGCTAATGCCAATTATTTTGCTAGAGTTAGGTACTAACTCAATATCTTTTACATAGGTATTATATATGCAATTAAAGACAAAAAGTGCCGTAAGAGTCTAAATTGGCTAACGTTAAATAGATAGTGTATGCAAAGGATGCGGATGTTTCTGGGCCGACCCCAAATTTTATAGACTCGACGACCCATTATAAGCCCACCGCTTGATAGCTAGTTTGGTATTAGAGAATCGAGAGTAACCCACATGAGAAGAGATAGAAGGCAATAAGTATGATGTACATAAAGACAAAAAAAACTATGTTGAAGGAGCTTTACTGGTGCAATAGTATTCATTCCAAGTATAACAGCAAAACAAAAATTGCACAACATGACTTTCCACTGATTAAAATTACCCAGAATGATTTCATCTCCTGAAAAGAAAACAAAGCCACAACTTGTTTTTACCTGATGGACACCCCATTTTCACACTTGACAAATAGCAAATTTATAGAACAAAATAAATTGTTCTACATACAGCTTATGTGTAGTGAAGTTTGTTGATTTATACGCGACATTAACTAACTTTTATTCAATGATAATTTGTGACAGTCCGACTCTGGGATCACTCTCTAGTTGTCCCATATTTTTGTTGCAGCATCCTCCTCCGTGGCAGTGTTTTGTTTCCGAAGTCAAATGAACCTCAACAGTAGCGTGATTTTTCGAATGTTGATGTTGTTGATGATTGTGGCACTGTGAATGTTGATGGTTGTGAGACTCTGAATGTTGATGCTCATGATGATGATGATTTGTTAAGCTACTCTTTGTGCAGCAACTCTGTCTCTGGGTACTCGATTTTCCTCCGCAGTGATTGTGCTTTTCATGATGATTTTCGTGCATTACCTGAGAAGGAGGGCAATTCCGTAAGGGTGTGTTTGTTTATAAATTTTATTACTAGTACTCAAAACTTGACTCAACATTAATACAACCCTACTATCATTAATATTATCAATACAATTAAATAATATCACTCAATCATTCTTACACATCACATCAACTCTAATTTACTATTTATTCACTCACATAATTTTAACTGACAATCACTTCACATCATATCTCTCACACTTTTACATTAAATCAACTTTAATTATTTTGTTATAAATAATATTTTAATATAAATTAAAAATCTCACTGGCTAAACCAGATTTTTCAAAATTACCCATTGTTAACCAAAAAATCTCATTTTGACATTTTTTTCAAATTAATCATGATTAACCAAAAAATCCATTTTGAGCGTATATTATTATATCCAAACACACCCTAATAGATCTATAACGATAGTTAGAGTGCATAATATAGTAGTTTTACCTGCCCATCCAACTTCTGTGGTGTCACACAAGGTTGGCCCTTTTCTCCACAGCAAGCGTGGCCTGGGGATTCCTTTGGAGAGTGGGCATGGGTGTGGGGCGTGGCAACTCCCCTCAATAGCAGCATGCTGTTGAATATGACGAGCAGGCATGTGCCCACGTCTGCTAGCACCGCAGCCCAGACGAGTGGGTGGCCGGCGGCCGCCAGCCCCACGATTGCGGCCTTAGTGGACACCGACAGGGCCACGTTCTCTATGATCTTGCGCCGGACGCGCCTAGCGAGGCGTGCGGCCTTGGGGATGCGGCCAATGTCGTTGGACATGAGCACGATGTCCCCAGTTTCTGTAGCCAGTGCCGACCCAGACACACCCATCGAGATGCCCACGTCTGATGTGGCCAGCGCAGGGGCATCGTTTGACCCGTCCCCAACCATGGCTGTGGGCCCCACAGTCTCTTGGAGCTCTTTGATAATATTTTCTTTGTCCTGGGGCAGGAGCTCAGCATGGACCGTCTCTAGGGCTCCTCCTAACTATATGACATCAAAAAAATGTGAGAGAAAGAAAAATGTAATTTATTGTTTCTGATGTGTAAGATTTATAGAATTGGGGAAAAAGAGTGCGGTCCCACGCAGATTAAGAACACCATAAGAGGGTGGACCTAGGTGCACCATAGTGAGGTTCCATCCCAAAATCAATTGGTGATGGAAGGAGCAGCTGACTGGGCATATAAGTTAGGCCTATTTTTCCTAGAGAATAAATGTGAGACAACTCGCAAGTTATGTTCCAACATGATGAAATTATAATGTAATAGGTATGAAAGCTTCAATTTTAGAATGGAATTGATATGTTTGACCTGATTTTTTGCATGGTTGGCAGCTTCATAAGAATCCCCAGTCAACATAACAGGCTTGACGCCCATTGACTTGAGCTCCTTAAGTGCTTCCTCGGCTCCCGTTCGGCACATGTCTGATAAACAGAATATGCCGGCTCGAGAGGAGCCCAGGAAAACATACCCAACCGACTTTCCCTCTGTGTCGTAGCCTTCCAGCTTAGGAAGATCAACACAACCTGCTCGAGAAGCAATTTTCCCATTCCCGACATATATATCGAGATCCTCAATTCTCCCGTGTATCCCTTCCCCTGCAAAAATCTCGAAGCTCTCCACTTTCTCCGGCTCTGGGTGGACACCACGCGCCCTTGCAAACTCAACCAGGGCCACTGCCATTGGGTGACTCGACTTGCTCTCGATACTTGCAATCCTGATATAT